CCAGCAGGTCAAGGCTGCGGTGGCCGGGAGCGGCCACTGCACTCCAGTCTGGGCAACTGATGGAGACTCCAACTCAAAAATAATAATAATCATCATAATAATAAACCAGACATTTCTGAAAAGCTTTACTTAATATTAATTTATGGAATTCCAATCATTTAAAATACCCTCAGTGGGGTAAAATCTGGTCCCTTGAAGGATGAACTTCACTTTTAGATATCGTAAATTATTCCAGTTAATTCCAAGAGAGATCAAGCTATGAAATACCAGTCTAAACCAAAAATTAAGTGAGTTGGGATGAGACTGAAATTTTATATAATCCATCAGAAGTAATTTAAATGAGGATGCTTTCATGACTACATATTGAAGACATGTGCTTAGGACACTTATTACCCGTTTAATTGAACAGTTTTAAATCCTTGTACTTACCGATGTAGTACTGCAATTGCTGGCTGCACTGAAAGGATCAGTGCTTGAAGTAGCAAAAGGATCAGTAGATTGACTAAAGAAACAGTCCGATGCAAATGGATCTGAACCTTTGAAAGGATCACCACCAAACGGATCTAAAAAAGTAAAGCACAAATATAAGAGACTTAAAACATTGCACTTAATTAGAAGATACTTTGAACTCCTGCAGAATCTAAGTTTTGTTTTGTTTTGTTTTAGTCAGAGTCTCACTCTGTCTTCCAGGCTGGAGTGCAGTGGCACACCCCTATATGTTGGATTAAGGCAATCCTGCTTCAGACTTCCAAAGAGCTGGGGCTACAGGCATGCACCACCAAGCCCAACTAATTATTTATTTATTTTATTGTAGAGATGAGGTCTCACCAAATTGCCCAGGATGGTCTTGAACTCCTGGGCTTAGGCAATCCTCTCACCTCAACCTCCCAAAATGTTGGGATTTCAGGTGTGAGGTACCATGCCTAGCTAGAATCTAAGTACTTTTTATCTCACAAATTATCTTGTGATTTTGATAAGCATTATAGAGCCTTTCATCTAACAACTTTATTTTTTTAAATTAGCATATAATTGCAAGGAATCCAATTTTAAGTCCTCTTATTCTGTGCTATCGTAACTCAAGAAAACAACAACAAAAACTTTTTTTCTTTTGAGTTAGAGTCTCATTTCGTCGCCCAGGTTTGAGTGCAGTGGCATGTTCGCTCATCGACCTGGTGGGTTCTGGCGATCCTTCTACCTCAGCCTTCCAAGTGTACTACCACACCCAGCTAAACAACAAAAACTTTTAAATGTATTTCTCGCTCTAAGTTCAAGGCTAACAGCTAGTAGCTTACAACAAGGTTGGGAAATAAAACTAAATGGTAAACAAGATTTGCTTTACTCTAATGAAAACTCTCAGAGAAAAAATATTTTTAAAAGCAAGATAGTAATTCAAGATGTTTTATTTTCCTCCACTCATAAGAATGGGTTATAATTTTAAGAAAATGTAATTATGTTCTAAATCCTGTAGTAGTATAGATTATTATACTCACCTAAACTTTAGTTAATACAGAGATATCAGAATAAATATTATTAAAAGCACTGAAGTCTAAACTTTACTGTCATTTTTTAAAAAATAAAGCTAACAGTTTATTATAAAGAAAACTCACAAGAATCTACTGCTCTCTGAAAATGCCAGGCACACATAGCATTCTACTGGGGCTTTAGATCAGTTTCAAAACTAAATAAAAAGGAAGTCAATTTCCTATAACTATTCTACTTGTAATTCTCATTTTTAGATACAACATAAACTTATTTCGAGCAGAATTTAATTGAAGTTAAGATGAATCTCAATAATATACTGACCAATTTTTCCAAAAGGATCATCCTTGAAGGGATCACCTGTGATAAATAAATACGCAAAAATCAAAATAACAATATTTATTCTGACACTATTACTTGAAGAGTAACTTTAAAATGAAAGCAAGGCAAAGTTTCTTAAAGTTTGTTCCATTAACTCCACTTCAAAGTAGGTAAGATAATGAATGTCATCCACCTTAGGATATATTTAAAATAATAGTGAGTATAGGTAGAACTCAACACATCTCAAAAAAGATGCAAATTTGAAGCTTGAGGCAATTATACTTACCTTAATCACAAGTTGAGGTTACAGACTGGAGGGGAATATAGGAATGACAGAAAAATTTTTACTAACAAAATCTCTACCCTTCACAAGAGTACTGGGAGGGCACCAGTTCAGAAATGAAGATACTGAGCTTTGCTAAAACAAAAAAAAAAAAGCGTCCAGAAATAAGCCCTTATTTTTATGGCCATTTGAATTTTTTTTTTTTTTTTTTGAGTTGGAGTCTTACTCTGTCGCCCAGACTGGAGTGCAGTGGTGCACTCCCGGCCACCACAGCCTCGACCTGCTGGGCTCCGGCAATCCTTCCGCCTCAGCCTTCTATGTAGCCAGGACTACAGGCGTGTGCTACCACACCTGGCTAGTTTTAGATTTATTGTAGAGACGAGGTCTCGCCAAATTGCTCAGGTGGGTCTTGAACCTCTCGCCTCAGCCTCCCAAATTGCTGGGATTACAGGCTGAGCCACCGAGCCTGGCCGGCCACTGGATTTTTGACAAGAGTACCAAGAAAACACAATGGGGAAAGGACAGTCTTTCTAACAAATGGCATTGGGACAGCTGGATCAATATGCAAAAGAAAGAAGTTTGCCCCCTTACCTCACACTATAAACAAAAACTCAAAATGGATAAAAAAATCTAAATGTAGTAGCTAAATTACAAAACTCACAGAAAGAACGCATAGGAGTAAGTTTTGGTGACTTAGGTAAAGGTTCCATAAATACAATACCAAAAGCACAGAAGTGACAGAAGAAAAAAAACAGATAAAAAATGGTCAATAAGCTAATAGCATAGAAAGATGCTCAACATTAGTCCATATGAAGACACAAATCAAGCCCACAATGGCTATAATCAAAATAATAGATAATAACAAATATTGGTAAGGATATGGAGAAATTGCAAACCATATACAATGCTGGTGGGAATATAAAATGGTGCAGACTTTTTAGAAAACAATCTGACAGTTCTTTAACCAATTATACTCAAAGGTACCAATTAAACATAGAGTTACCTTAAGACCTGATATATGCCCAGGAGAAATATAAACATATAGCCACACAAAAACTTATACGAACAAATGCTCATAATAACTTTCTTCATTTAAGTGGAAACAACTCAAATGTTCACCAACCAATAAATAAGTAAAATGTGAAATAGCCAACCAATCAAATACTATTCATCAATTTAAAAGAAATGAAACATTAAAACATAGTACAATATGGTGAACCTTGAAGATATTATTATGTTAAGTGAAAGGCAAACATAAAAGAATATATGTATGTGTATATATATATTTATATATGCACAATAGTACACATGCAATATATTCTATTATATATGTACGATTATATGTACACGTACTATGTTCTTTTATGAACATATTGTATAATTCCACAAACAGGCAAATCTACAGAGATAGAAAATAGGTTAGCAAGTTGACTGGGGTTAGGAATTAGAAGGATGGGAAGCAACTGCTATTGGGTATGGAATTTCTTTATGGGTGATGAAAAATGTTCCAATATTCAATTGTGGTGATTACTATACAACTCTGTGAATTTACTAAAACCATTAAATTGTATACTTAAATGTACAATTTATATCTTTCAACACTTTACATATCTCAATTAAGCTGTTTTGCTTTTGTTTTTGTTTTGAGTTGGGGGTCTCACTTTGTCACCCAGACTGGAGTACATAGCATAATCACAGCTCACTGCAGCCTCAATCTCCTGGGTTCAGGTGATCCTTCTGCCTCAACCTCCTGAGTAGCTGGGACTACAGGCACACACCACCACGCCCAGCTAATATTTTGGTTTCTTGGTAGAGACAAGGTATTGCTATGCTGTCCATGCTGGTTTCAAACTTCTGGGCTCAAGCTATCTTCCCACCTCAGCCTCCCAAAGTACTGGGTTTACAGTCATGAGCCACTGTGCCAGTCTAATAAAGCTGGTCTTAAAAAGAGTTCTAATATCTGGGTTCATTTCTGCCACAACCATAAGCAAGTTGTTTTTGCCTGTGGGCCTTAGCTTCCCATCTTTAAAAATGATATAAACTGATCTATCAGTTTCACAAAGTAATTTTGGAAATAGAATAAAATGCAAAAGAGCTTTGACACAAATGGCATTTAACATAGTTTATGCTGACATTAGACATTTTAATTGATCAAATACATGTTTCTTCAATAAGACTGTAGGTACCTTAAGAGGAAGGATCAGACTTCCAACTCTGCTACACCTTCTACAGTTTTAAAAGCATGATGTTGGCTTTTTTTTTTTTTTTGAGTTGGAGTCTCACTCTGTTGCTCAGGCTGGAGTAGAGTGGCACACTCACTACAGCCCTGACCTGCAGGGCCCTGGCAATCCTTCTGCCTCAGTCTTCCAAGTAGCTGGAACTGCAGGTGTGTGCTACCACACCTGGCTAATTTTTTGATTTATTGTAGAGACAAGGTCTCACCAAGTTCCCCAGGCTGGTCTCGAACCCCTGGGCTCAGACAATCCTCTTGCCTTGGCTTCCCAAAGTGCTGGGATTACAGGCTTGAGCCACCGCACCCAGCTTATGTTGGCATTTTAAATAAATAAATGCCAGTTGATTTAAGATTGCCCAATCTCCTCTATTAGTTTGTAACAGTTACCTCTTTCCTTTGGTCCCTATTCTGATGGAAAACAAATACTCTTAATTAGGGGCTTCTAAGGCATAATCAATGCTTAGTCCCAGGATCTAGTTGCCTCTAGAGGATAAACATTAGCAAATCTAAGCATATAAACCCTTACCCTCGTATCTATTTTAATTGTAACAAGTAGCTCTCAAAACTGAAGCCCTAATTCTCAGACAGTTCATATATTTAAAAGTCTTTGTTTTGTGGGGAAAATCTATAACATATTAAAAAAAGAATACTTACTGCCAACAAAAGGATCAGATTGGAAAAAATCCAAGTTTGTATCTGCAACTGGATCTGTCAGTGAACTTGAATCTACATTAAATGGATCTTCCTAAAAATAATTTCAATTGAAAGAATTTTTTTAGAAACTAAAGTTTGAAAAGGTACACATTCTGGTCATACACACTTTGAAAAATCAACTGATGGTAATATAACAAATATTTCTCTAGTCATAAAGTACATTTAACACATTTTTTGCTTTTCTTAGCCTAAAACAGTGTATAATCCATCTAAGGAAACCAATGATAACATTTTTTTTTAATTATGTTTTTAATTTTTAGAGATAGAGTTTCCTAATGTTGCGCAGGCTGACCTTGAACTCTTAGACTCAAGAGATCTGCTAACCTCAGTCTCCCAAGTAACCAAAACCACAGGTATGTGTCACCATGCCCAGCTATAAGAACACTTAATTTTATTTGCATAAAGGGGTACAAGTGCAATTCTGTTACATGACAGACTTGTGTAGTAAAGTCTGAACTTGTAGTATATCCATCACCCAAACAGTATACATTGTATCCATCAAGTAGTTTTCTCATCACCTAACTCCTGCCCATTCCCTCACCCTTCCAAGACTCTAATGTAAATATAAAATTATTTTTACCTCTTTTGAATGTCTGTCATTGTCAAATTCAGGACAAACTTTTTCATTAACAGCTGCAGTCATCACTTCATTTTCATCAGTTACACTAGAAAGTGGTATTTCAGGACTACTTCTTGCCTATAAAATATTGATGCGAATAGACTAACAATATACTTTTCTACTTGGCAGAGGAAACTGACAAAGAGCAAATGCGTTTTTATTCTATAATTTTTCTTAGGAAAATGGTGTCATTAAGCATTAAAGCACCCATGTCAGAAAACTTCAGGTTATCTTTAACCTCCATCTAGAATAAGATTCCAAGTCTTGCTCAGTCTACCTCTTACCTCTTTTTCAAACCCTTTCTTTATTTCCATCCTGTCACTATCATTCATTTGCAGTATCATCACTGGTTTGGATTATTGTGGTAGTCTTCCTTGCAACTGCCTTCCCGCCTCCAATATGTGCCGTTCCAATCTATCCTACTTATAGTAGCCAAAATAGTAGATCCAGAATGTGAACGTGATGGTGACCTTTCTGGTTAAAAGTCCTTCGATGGCTCCCAGTTGTTTTCTTAATTTAGACCAGTGTATAAAAGGCTTAAACAGTAGTAGAGGTAATATCCATTTTGTATCACCCTTTATGTGTTTAAAGAATAACATAGTAATCTGCCTTTTGTGCTTGAAAGAATATTATATAATATATATAAGGCTCTACTGTCTAAATAAAATCAAATCTGTAAATTTTCATTTTTAATACCTCTTAAATTTGTACTCTTCTCATCAACCTTCCTGCTACTGCTAAATCAACTCTCACACAGACTATTCCAACAGTGTCTTAACATATTTCTGTGAGTGCAGTCTCACTCCCCAGTCTATTCTCTACATGTCTAAAAAGTAGATTTCATCATGTTACTTCTTGCTTACAACTCTTATTTGGCTACTGACTACAGTAAGATAAGTCCTCCAGTGCTTTAAGATAAATTAAAATTTCTTATCCTCTGCCCTTTCTGACCCAAAAGTGGTTATTTTTACCTAAGAGCACATCCTAATTGCCCATAGAATCTGTTTGAAAAACATATGTACCTGGCTCCATTCCAGACACTCTAGAAGTTCAGAAGGCTTGGGGAAGGGAAAATACATTCAAGTTTGATAAAGCACTAGCAGTAATACAGATGCCCAATAAGGAGAGTCTCATCTCTTACCAATACCCTCCCACCATCACAAGACAGCCTTCAAAACTTCTCATGATTCTATGCTGCATATTTTCTCCCACCTTATGCCCATACTGACACTGTTTTCTCTGCTACAAATGCATCATCCTCTTCTTGTTCAACACCTTCTCACTTGTCAAAGCTTACTCACAAAGCTTCCCTCACAAAATCTTCTCTGAGCCCCCTCCAAAATGTCCCACCTGAATATTCTGTGCTTCCTTGATCACATCTTTTAACAGTGTTATGCTACTAGACTGCATGCTGCTTGAAGGAAGGGTCAAAGGTCTTTCATCTATGTTGTTCTCACGCATAATACAGCACTCTTGCACATGGTCTGTGCTCTCCAGATAATTGGTAAATGAATGTCCTCAACCATTATGTAAAAACTACTTTTGGCTTTGGGGGAGGGTATCCAACAGTTTATCTCTATAGAACTACTATTTTTAAAACATATTCTATAAAAATAAATTAGCTAAAATTACATTTTTATACTAGTTAAAACTATAAGTTTTGTTGGGTCAGGACCCACTTTCTGCCTCCAAAAAAGAAATCTCAATTGTCCTCAGATAAGGTGAGGCCACATATTTATACTAGGTATGATATCAACAAAATTTTGATCAGTACTAGGAAGGTGATTATGAAGTCTATGGAACTATTAGACTCACTGGAGATTCCTGATGTATGGGCTCGGACTCTAGGTTGCTCTGGCCTTCAGCATGTTCATTAAGGTTGGCTGTTTCACTGCTGCTGGTGCTGAGGCTGCAATAATCTGTAGCGCCATTTACAAGAATGTTGTGTGGGCTACTGCGCCAATTTAATTGATTGTTTTGATTTTCCAGATCTTTCATTTCCATCAGTTTCATTTGCATCTGTCAACACAAAGTAGAAATATACAATAGAATTTATTAGTAGAAAGACATGTAATGACTATACCCCTAGACTTGGTCAAGGATAAAAGTGCTTTCTGTAAGAAGAATCTTCTGGAATGCTACGACTTAGAGGACATAATCTCTCCCAATAAGCTCTCCTCTTGAAATTCTAGTATGCATGGATTTGTTTTTGTATGTCTTTTGAAATCTCCAAGAATTCTGAACACAAATAACCACAAACTGACAGTCACTGAAGGTACAATTAGAAAAGGAAAGGCTAGAGTATTGGGAGGAAAGATAGAAAAGTAACAGGGAAAGAGAAGAGTTTGTGATAAAGCTTTAGGAGAAGTAAGTCAAGTTGAAGGAGAGCATATAAGGCTTTGAAACCATTCATACACCTATTGGGGAAAAGGGGAATGAAGACAAAAGTAAGATGAGCTACTGTCCCATACTCTGGCTCGACTTATTAATGGGTTAGAGCCCTATAGAGTATTCTCTAAATCTAAGTTATATCAAGCATATTAAAAAAAGAACACTCAAAGTTTTTTTGACCTCATCATCCAAGTGAATTTATACTCCTGGAACAATAGTGGGGCACAGAAGGCAGATTTCAATAAATTGTAGTATATCAAAGAGGTTGTGGACCAAAGACAAAAGAAAAATGTCTTATTTATACCAATATCTATAATTAAAAAACAGTTTACAAATATCTTAAAGAAATTGAAGAGAAGGAAGATTCAAAAGGTTTCTAGTAAAAAAAATAAATAAAATTTTACTGAATAGTTCCCATTTTTCACCAAATACATTTTTAAAATTATATTTAAATTTCTGGTTGGGCACAGTGCACTTTGGAAGGCCAAGGAGGGAAGATTGCTGGAGCCCAGGAGTTTGAGAGCAACCTGGGTAACATAGCAAGACCTCATCTCTATAAAAAAAAATTTTTTTAATTCCTTTTATTACCATGCTGTTTTTTGTTTTTAGCAAACATAAAAAATTACCTATTGATCTTTCATAAATCAAGGCTCTGTTCCCTCAATTTTATTTTTCCCAAAAGGTTTTTAAATTGCTCAAGGTAGAAATCTGAAATTTACCCCAGGTCTTTTCAGGATCATACCTGGGAAAATAACACTATATTTATTGAATTAGGAGACAGGTATATATCTACTTTTGTCACCTTCCATTATTTAGATGATCTTGGTCACAGTAACCTCTTCAAATTTCCATTTTTTAATACGTGGAGGGAGTAAGAACTACCTCCACAGATGACTGTAATATGGCTCTAAAGATATACTTGAAAATATCATTTAAAATGTGAAGGTCTATGTAAATAATAATAACATATATAAAAGTGTCTAGCACAGTGCAATTCCCACTAACAGAGCAGTTAATTTTTTCCAGCATCTTGTTTGTCCTCTGTTACTTTTCCACTAATTCACTACATTTTTAAAACATTAAAGATCTTAAGTTCTTTGAGGGTAGATTACAATTTTTGTTATAAATTTTGTATTTCCAACATAAAGCACAATGATATACACTGTAGGAGCCTAATATATGTTTGCCAAATGAAAACTAGTATTATGTTTATAAATTTTTTGTTTGTTTTGTTTTTGTTTTGATTTGAAGTCTCACTCTGTCGCCCACGCTGGAGTGCAGTGGCATGCTCATGGCCACCGCAGCCTCAACCTGCTGGGCTCAGGTCATCCTTCTGCCTCAGCCTTCCAATTAGCTGGAACTACAGATGTGCGCCACCACACCCAGCTAATTTCTTGATTTATTGTATATACGAGGTCTCACCAAGTTGCCCAGACTGGTCTCGAACCCCTGGACTCAGCCAATCCTCTTGCCTCAGCTTCCCAAAATGCTGGGATTACAGGTTTGAGCCACTGTGCCTGGCCTTATAAATTTAAACAATAGGCATCAATAAGTATATATTTTGCTGCCAAACTGCATCTTACTTAAAATTTATACAATCCAAAATTACTATATACTTTGCAATATATAGCATAATCCTTATATACCCTAGAGCGACAGAAAGGCAGCTTATAAACTTTTATTTTTACTTTAACTCACAGAAATAAATTACATACAAGCTAACCCAGTAAATATATATATAGGATGTGCTTCTGTGTATATGCATACATACACACAAATACACATATAATATAGACACATACGTGCGTGGTCTTACGTACAGATATACACATACATGCACACACAGGGCTGAAGCAAGTTTCATGAATACTTACCCTTCATTAATATGAATCCACTCTAATATTTCCTATTCTTTATCTCATTAAAACTTTTTTTATCATGACCATTCAATTTCATGACCCACTACAACTTGCAGTCAAACATTACACTAAAAAAATACACATCATTATCAATGAAGTGAAAATACTTGCAACAATCTTATTTAGGACAGTTTGTTCCTTATAATTATTCCTGAGATAACAAATAGAATCTTGATCAAAACTAGGCTTTCCTGTGACTGGCTCACAAACATTGTTTTATTTTCTCAATGATGGCTTACAATATCCAGAGCCCTTTCTACTTTACTCACTTATGCTCCTTCTTTTGAAAGAAGTCCCCTTTCAAAAAGTCAGAGAAAAGAAAATGAAAAGAGAAGTCAAAGATTGGGAGAATTTATTTGCAAATCATGTCTGAAAAAGGATCTATATCTAGAATATGTATTTTAAAACTCTTATAATTCAGTAATAAGTGACAGTTCTTTTAATGAGCAAGAGATTTGAATAAACACATGAAAAGACACTCAGCATCACTGGTTATTAGAGGAATTTAAGTTAAAAATACTATGAAATATCACTTTACACTTACTAGAATGACTAAAATAAAAAAGACACACAATAAATGTAATGATGAGAATGTAGGGAAGCTAGAATCTTCATATATTGCTGGTGAAAATGGAAAATGGTACAGCCTCTCTGGAAAACAGTGTGGAAATCTGAAGTTTTTATTAAAAGAAAATTAAACATAACTTTACAATAATGACAGACTATCCCACACCCAAAATAAATGAAATCATATGTGCATATGTATATGAATGTTCTTTGCAGCATTATACATAATAGACAACAAATAGAAAGAATCCAAATGTCCATTAACTGATGAATGGATTAAAAAAACCATTTTCTAAACACAATGAAATACTATTTGGCATTAAAATGGAAAGTAATATTGAAATATGCTACAAAACGAATGAACTCAAAACCATGCTAAGTGAAATAAATCACATGAAAAAGACTGCATATTGCTTTATTTCATCTATATGAAATATTCACAAAAATGGCAAATCTAGAGATGGAGAAAGCAGATGAGTAGTCACCTGGGTGTAGGAGTGGGCACTGACTAAAAATGGGCACAAGGTATCTTCTGGGAGCAATAAAAATGTTCTAAAACTGGATCGTGATGCTTGTACGACTCTAAATTTTCTGATAAATCACTGAACTACACATTTTATGGTATATAAATTCTACCTCAAATAAAGGGTTTTTTTTAATGCAAAAGAAGAAAATGTTTTTTAAAATATCTGTTTATCTGGACCAAGTGCAGTGGTTCACATCTGTAATCCCTGTACTTTAGGAGGCTACGGTAGGAGAAATGATTAAGCCCAGGAGTTCCAGACCAATCTAGACAATATAGTAAGACCCTGTCTCTACAAAATATTTTTTAAAATTAGCTGCACATGGTGGTGTATGCCCATAGTCCTAGCTACTTGGGAAAGCTGACATGGGGAAAGGGAGATCACTTGAGCCCAGGATCTATCTTATTACTATTCCTTTTTTTTTTGAGTTGGAGTTTCACTCTGTTGCAGTGGCATGATCACAACTACTACAGCCTTGACCTGCTGGGCTCAGGCAATCCTTCCATCTCAGCCTTCCAAGTATCTAGAAATACAGGCATGCACTAAATAATTTTTCAATTTATTGTAGAGACAAGGTTTTGCCATGTTGTCTGGCTGGTGTCGAACTCCTGAGCTCATGCAATCCTCTCGCTTTGGCCTTCCAAAGTGTTGGGATTATAGGTATAAGCCACCACTCCCAGACTCTTACTACTATTCTGTAAAACATTAGTCTCCAATAAGGGGAGCCTAGAAACAAAAAAACCAAAGGATCTACCCAGAGGACCAACCACAGTACTGCATACTTATCTACAGAAAGAACAATTTCCTAATTAAAAAAAAAAAAGGGAGGGTTTCCAAATGAGTAAATTTGAATGCAAAATCAGAATCAAAAAAGACACTACATTTTATTTAGAAAAATAAAAAAATACTTATTGAGTATTTATCAATCACTATGGTAAAATGTCTCACAGGTTCTGCCTTATTTAATCCTTGCAGTGGCCATATGTTATAGAGGTATTGTTAATTCTCCAATTTTAAAGATGAGGAATTTGATAGTAAGGTGATTTAGCTAGTAAGTAACAGAGTCAGTACTTAAAATTAGACCATCTAATTACAAAGCCCACACTCTTAATCACTACACCACTGATAATCATCAGAGATGTACAGGATGTATGACAACGTTAATGCGTAACAGGTGACAAGAAATTATCATATAAAATGACTGAAAAATGAATAGTTAAGTAGGTAGAGGGAGGAGCAAAGGTTAAAAAGAGTTATTGACAGCCGGTCTCAGTGGCTCAGCCTGCAATCCCGTGCCTTTGGGAGGCTGAGGTGAGTGGATTGCCTGAGCCCGCGGGTTTGCGATGCGCCTGGGTAGCGAGACCTCATCTCTATAATAAATCAAAAAATCAGCTGGGCGTGGTAGAGGATGCCTGTAATTCCAGCTACTTGGAAGGCTGAGGCGGAAGGATCGCCAGAGCCCAGCAGGTCAAGGCTGTGGTGGCCGGGAGCGGCCAGTGCACTCCAGTCTGGGTGACAGAGTGAGACTCCAACTCAAAAAAATTAAAAAAAACAGTTATTGACTAAAAGGATATATGAGGGTCCATTTTGAACATTTCCTGCTTCACAGAGACTTACTGAACTGATTTCCTGCTGTGACTCTTGCAGGTGCTGCTGAAGAGGTTCCAGCTGAGCCTTCCCTGACTCCACACTCTCCTCCAGTTCTGCTGTTTCTTGCTGTAGGCGGTTCAGCTCTTCTCTAGCTTTGGCCAGTTCTTCTTCATAAGTAGAGATCTGTGATTCTTGACTAGTTAATTCAGCTTTCAGAGAAGATATCTAGAATATGGAGGTGAATGACAAGAAAGGGGAATTAAAGGAGAGATGTCATTAAAATGTTTCATAATGCAATACATTTATTTGTTTAATTTCCCGTTTTGATGTTTTTTGCTTGTTTATTTCCATTTTGACAGCAACAGCAAAAAATGTATTTTATGTTTTTTATTTTAATTTTTTAGAGACAGGGTCTTGCTATGCTGCCCAGGCTGAATTCAAACTCCTAGGCTCACTTCTCCTGAGTAGCTGGGACTATAAGCACATGCCACTGTCCCTGGTCCTGTTTTATTTTATTTTATTTTATTAATGTATGTTTTTGGTAGACAAGGGCAATTGGGGAAGGGATAGTGAAGAGTTGAAGGCATAGACACCAAATTTCCAATCAAAGTTTAGAAATTTCTACTAAGGAGGGCTTATAATTTCTGAATAAACCTTGCTCCATCTCCTCCTCCTAGTCTAGTCTCCTCTCGTGGAGACTAGATTGCCACGAACAATAACAAAAAAAACAAGTAGAGAATGTTTCATCTAAAGTCAGGAAAAGCAGCTAAGATATAGACGCAGGCAGCAGTAAACAACCAAAAGTTACCAGCTGGGCCTCCTCAGCGCATTTCTTTCTGACTTCCTTGAGCTGCTCCTCCAGTTGGGCTTTCTGCTCATCCAATTCATCAAGGAGTTCCTGTACTTGCTGTTTCTGGGCCTGCAGTTTTTGCAGATTAGTACTTTCCCTTTGAACTTCATCTTGAAGATCCTGAAATACGAGAAAATTAACAGTTATTCTCTTTGGGAATGGAGAAACATTAATAACTTTAAGTCTAACTTATGGGAAAATAAAGTCTTATTGAGCATATTATGCTACGAACTACAGTATTAACAGCTTTAAATACAATCTTTTTTTTTTTTTTTTTGAGTTGGAGTCTCACTCTGTCGTCCAGACTGGAGTGCAATGGCCGCTCCC